AATGGCAGACAGTTTTAAATAAGAATTGGGATTTCCCTTTTTTTTTACTCTTTGCGTTTACAGTAAATCCAGTGTCATAAAACGTTATTTATGAGCAGAAAAATGTCACACTTATGTCAAAGGGTTAGGATCCAAAAGTACGTCATTCCTAAAATCATGGAAAAGTCTATAACCAAAGCAAGGTGTTAAAATTCTTTATTTTTTGTAAGCTAGGAAGGAAAATTATTTGTTCAAAGTTCTTAAAATAGATTACTAACCAAAAATTGTGTTTCTGTAATCTCTGAAATGTTATTTTAATGTTATGTTAATTTCTGTCTGCAAATAGCAACAATTTAAATAGGTTACATTTGTTTCCCCCATACACCAAGAAAGGGGCTTTACATTTAACCACTCGCCACTCTTGTTTTCATTTCTTTTGTTAACAAATACACCCATAAACCAATGAGTCATGAGTAATTACTGAAGTAAAAGCAAACTTTGAATCGTCTCATCTAACATCAGATTTTCCTAAAATGAGCTCCTTTTTCTTTTGTTTCATCTTTATACACTTAAGAAAGTATTTTCTTTAAGTGAAAAGTAATTTATTCATGATTAGAAAAAAGCCAATTTTCAATCATATTGCTTGTTAAATTTCATGTGTTCTATCAAAAAATGCCCACATGCTTATTTTTCCACTTTTGCTTCCATTTCCAGTCCTGGATGCACGCTTCGATTTTCACTTTACCTCCACCATTTATTAACTCTCCTTGTAAAGATATGTAAAAATGATGTAAAATAAACTAATCTTCTATTGTGTAGTTTGACCCCACATTTAAATTTTGGAAAAACTCAAGGATTATCTCCAGAAAGGAGAACACAGAGCTGACATAACTGCATGCACAGCGCCATCTTAAAAAGTTGCTGGAAATGCTTCAGGAATAAGAATTCGGATTATATTTTGAAAAACCTTTCTACTGAAACAGCTCATGAATCCACAGACTAAGAAAGTTCCCAGTGCCTTTTTAAAAATAAACTGGCAGGAGTTGTTTCCCCCATATTCTGTGAGACCAGTCTGCTCCTCTTATTGTTGTCTGACCAAAGTGTACAGCTCCACTTAAAGCTCCAAAAGCATTTAGTAAACTCCACATATTTACATTCGTAATGAGGCCTTCCAAAATACCACCTTCTGTGTCTGTGTAAATAGCATTCAGAGCCTATTTTGGAGAATGGGCAAATCCAATAAGCCTTCTTTGAAGTAATTCTCTAACAGTGAAACTTGGAGATGCTTTCCAACCTTTTGTTTTTTTTTTTTTACCATTTTCTTCACTTTCTATAGTGGGTTATATGCATATAGGTCCTCATCCAGCTAGGAGAAATGGACGACTTTCCCTGTATTTAGCTCCATCCATCCTTCCCTCACATCACCCTCCTGTTCGCTGTTGTTAAAGCATCCCCTGAGCATGATCTTGCTATCCTTGGGCTGTCTAGCTCATCATCCTGTGCTAAGGGTGATGAGCGGTGGAGGCTTTCTAGTCAGTGAAAGTATTTTTGCTCGGTTTCGGTTCGACCAGAGCACATTCTCCTTACACATCCTTTGTGGCCTACATGGCAATGACATTTCTTAATCCCGCAGCAGCCCCCCCACAATCCCCACTCAACCCCAGCCGCCCTAAAAACAAACTCTTCAATGAGCAATAGATCTCTACAGTTCCTAAAGAGATAAGATTGGCTTCATGGTTGTTTCTCTGGGCAGGCTTCTCTTACACAGCCTGCTTTTTGTTCTGCCTTATCCTTCAGTATTTCAGATGAAGGCTTTAACAGCGTTCCACTACAACCTGTTGTAATAACGCTGCATTAACTGATACTATTTATCTATTTAACAAACCAGACTTTATCTGCCACCACTTTACTGTACATAAGATATTGTATATATATCCCCTTAAATCCCTCCTTAATTTTTACCATGAAGTGTACATATCTGGATGCACTGTGTATACTTCATGCACTTTTTCCTGCCTTGTGCACCTTCTGTTTGTCTATACAGGCCGATGTCACTAGTGAATTTCTCCATTGTGAGATCAATAAAGTTCTATTCTTCTGTATTCTAGATGCTGAAGTCTCGGAATACCATTTTAAAATCTAACTCTGCTTCAGATTCCTACGTAGACGTCTAACTGAACTGCCAGATGTCTCTCTTGATCCTTGAAGAACAACTTAATTTGCACAGAGATTAAATTAAAAGATGGACTGTATATTTTACTTAGGTGACTCATTGGTGGATTAAATTTCAGTTCAATGCGTACTCTTCCCCCAGCTGAGCTAGAGTTTTTTAAGAGGTACAAAAGTCAAAGAGGAATAACAAAAACATTAAACAAAAACATTTATGATATTCTCAACCTTTCACCATTGTTCGTACTTTTTTGCTTGTCTATCCCATGAAACCATGAGGAATTACATTGACTTCTGCGACTGTAATGCGACGGCATGCTTGAAAAGTTCAAGAGCTATGAATATTTTTGTATGTCGCTGTAAGTTCAGCCACTAAACTGAACGGTTTGCTTTTTTAACTTCAGTATCACGTCAGAATCTTGAGGGGTTTTTGACGGTACATTTTTAAATTTCTTCTGCCGATGTTGACTAAGCCGCTTTGCCCGGTCATCCAAACAGTGGAAACAATGTTGCTGCCACCGCAGAACTCCTCCCTTCTTTCTTCCCATTAAATTCACTCTTTCCAAGTTCCAAAGCCTGAACTTGGCTGCAGCAGCAACCCGCTTTAAACTCCAGAAAGGCCTGATTTCTATCATTCACACTCTCTGATGCTTCCCTTTTTGATTCCCTGTTTTCCTGGGAGTCTACCTGATTGGATTTAGAAATCAGAAATCTCAGGTAGTGGAAACACTGCAGAAATGTGTGGAGCAAAGGTAAACTCTTGCTCTGGTTTTGATTTACCATTCGTATGTAAACCCTTGAAACCAGTGCCCCCCTCACCCCACGCTCCCATCACCGCCAGTCCAGCATAAAGGGCCCTTTATTCCAGTCGGACAGGGAGAGGAAATCAGCCTTAGAAGTAAAAACAGAGGGAGCAAGAGTGAGATGGAGACCACAGGGCTGCACATCTGGAGTTATTACAAGGCTCCCTCCCGCTTGCCAAGAAAACGCCGACATTCCTGCCCTCACTACAAAGACCGCAGAGCCTCTGCTCTCATTCAGCCCCACGACTCTCCACACATCCATCAATCAAATGTCAAAAATAAAACCCAACATCCATATACCAGTGGCGGCCGGCCCATAGGGGGCGCTGGGGCACCGCCCTCCCTGATAAGAAGAGAGAAACGTAAAATATATTTTTAGAAATTAACTCATAAATGTCTGTTTTACTCTCTAGACTGTGTAACTATAAGCAAAACAAATTATATAAACTACATTTCCCTATCTACTGTCATTAATTTGTGGATTTCCACAGACAGACTCCTACCGTCTCTGTTCTGGGGGCTGTGATCAGACTGACCCACATTTGCAGAGAATCTGTCAATCATGTACTATTGCTAGGTGAATTTAATGGCCAATCAGCGTCTCGGAACTTTATGGTATTGGGGCGCTGAAAATACTGCGCTTTTACAGGCTTCTCTTCTGAACCCAAGCGCAGGTGCAGACAGTTAGAGGGAAGATGGCGAATGTAACGAGCGAGATGCAGCTTCCACCAAATTCGGTGAGATCCTTTTTTATCTACCCGTTTGCCAGAAGAACATCCCTGTTGTATGATATGAACATTTCATTTCATGGTTATTGTGACTGTGACGAATCCACCTCGTCGCTTAAAACAACCTCTCTAACTTTGCGCGCCACACACACATTCCTGTTATACTGTGTTTGTGAGGACCAATACACTCGCGCTGAGACCAGTAGCTCTATTAACTTAAAACACACAAGCTGTTCCTGGTTACCTGCTGGCGTATTGAGGGTGCACACTTAATATTTCAGTGGGGTTAGCCGTGTGTGTGTGTGTGTGTGTGTGTGTGTGTGTGTGTGTTTGTGTGTGTGTGTGTGTGTGTGTGTGTGTGTGTGTGTGTGTGTGTGTGGGTATGTGGGGGGTGTGGGTGTGTACGTGTTTATGCGGGGACTTGTCATCTTCAGTCTGGCTGCGTCTTTGCTGGGTTCAAACCCAGTTTGGTGTAATTGAATAAGTCAATGAATCTGTGTAAAAGAATTAAGTTGTAAAAATTATTTGTTTTTGTACATCAATTGTTTGTGGAGGTAATATATGGACAAAACTGATTAATGAGAAGAAATCAGAAATAAGAGAGCCTGAGGTGAGGGGCTTAAACTATTTAATGAGGGCTGTGGGAAGAAAAGCGGCAATTTTTGTTTTCTGTTTCTTTGTTACATTGCTGGTAACTGGAGGGAGGCTGAGGCCCAGAGTATCTTGTATATGTTTAGTTTCTTTTGCACCCTGTTTTGAGTTTTTGAGCTCAATAAATCACCAACACCGGTAACCCGACTGAGACTGGATTCTTGGAGGCCAAAGAACCCCGTCACAGTGACCCAAATCATCACTGTTACTGTTATTATATAGTAAATTAAATCATTACTGTTAAATTGTATGTATTGTCCAATTGTTTATTTGAATTCTTATTCCGGGTTAGTTGGAGACATACACTAGGCTATATCAGCCCCACCAAAAATATTTTTCACCAGCCGCCACTGCCATATACTCAAATGTGCATTAAGCCCTGGAGAAGAAATAAACACATATATATATATGTCTGCAGAAGGAATCAGCCTGCCCATACCATTCTGCCACAATGCCTGCACTCCTTCCCTAAACTTTACAACGCTACCTCCAAACGAATGCATCTTCCTGTTCCCCTTTGACCCGCCACTTTCTCCCCATAAACGAACAAAAAAAGAAAAAGAAACAGAGAGGTGAGGTGAGGTGGGGGTTGCAGACAGAGGAAGGGGGGAAGAAGGAACAGAGGAGGAAAAATGGGGGGCCAGGGAGCTCCTCCTCTTTACTCCTTCATATCTCCTCTCTCCCTCACTTCTTTTCTCCTTCTGCATCTGGAAGCAGGAACTCGGCAGCCAGTCCTTCTGCCACGTCGAACCTCCCACCGGTCCATCTTCCCTCACTGCAGGAGCAACCTTTCCTCTTCATATTTTTCCCCCTCACTACACTTTGGACAGATGCATATAGACACCTTTTACCGCTGAATGTGAGGACAGGGAAGCAGGGTGGCTCAACCGGAGGAGATGGGAAACAACTAAGACGAAGATCCAAAGAAGAGGAAGAGGATCAAGAAGTTGCAAGTAATCCACCTTCTGTATATTTTTCCACCAGTTTATGTATGCAAGGAGACAAGAGTGTAGTTATTTCACGGACTCAGAGGGAGCTGCTGGGTGAAGCTTAGCAGGGTCTTAGCTGACCACAAAAATTCTTACCCAAACCAGAGTAATTTTAATGCTAGACTGTTTTTAACCGTCATCATCCATCCTGGAACTTCCAAACCCTGCATATATTTCCTAAATTTAATACAAGTTAAAAAGCTTTTATTGTTAGCAATGATGTCTAGAAATAATTCATATTTTGTTCTGTATCCACCTCAGCTATGTTAATTCTGTTGTGTTTTGAACAACTGATATGTTTATGCAGCCTTTCTGCAGCTTGTCTTTCCTCCTGAGAACCCGACGTGGAATGCTACCCTTCACAGTGGGAAACAGGAGGGAATGTCACTAAATCTGCCAGTCAGTGGCCATCACCTCTGTCTAACCTTCCTCCTCCTCTAACCCCCCCACCACCCTCCATTCACCCCTTTCCAGCCAGAGAAACCTGGACAAGTCTCACTGTGGATTTGCAGCAAGTATTCAATTGTGACAATGAAGCCACCCCACAGCATCCCCGAGCCGCCTCGCCCGCCTGCCCAGTGTTCAGACTACCTGTTCAGGAAGTAGTGGTTGTACAGTAGTCTGCACATTGGTTAGGCTGGCCTGGGAAAGACGCATGGATACCTTGGGTTGGGAATGAGACCAAAGGGAATCAAGGAAGATCCAGCTTACGGAAATAATGAGCGAGAAATTAAATAAATCCAAACAAGCCATGGCACCATCATAAAGGTCTAAAGCTCATCCAGGATGGAACAAATGAAAAAAAAAAGTAATTTAATTCAGCTGCTGTGGATTGATTTTATTTAAAGCAATTGTAATAAAGATATTTTTCAGTGACATTGTCTGTTTATTTTTTATTTTTACTCAAATCCTTCATCCAGGTTTCAAAGAAATATGACAGATCTAAGTAAGGGTTGCATGACAGTGTTGCTATGTTGTTTATTTTCTTTAAAAAACAACCATTTAGCTCCAAACAAATAACGCATGCTAACCCCAAAGGATAACTAAAGCACAGAGTAAAACCCCCAACATCAAGTTGCACCCATGATGGAAATGTACAATTATATGTCTGTTTTTTCTCTGCGTCAGTTTGTGGCTCCTTTACCTCAAATGACCATGTAAAGAGAAGCAAGACAGGAAGCCACCCTGGAGAAAACTCAAAAAAGCAGCTGTACTCTGTTATCTTCTAGTCACGGAGGTCACACGTCATTGTATATAAAAAATTAAATAATGGACTGCAGTAAAAATGTATAGGAAACATGAAAGGTTTAAGTGCAGCTTTTTATCCCCTTATGTTTTATTTTTCCTTCTTCTCTCTGGGGGGGGCAAAAAGTGTTGCCCTCTGGTCTCGCCTATGTTTGATAAAGCAAACACACACCGTACGATCATCAACTTTTCAAAAGCACAAAGCAAAAGAGGGCCAAAGTGTTCACACGGTGTCTCATCACAGTGCATCATGTGGAGGAATGCAAACCAAAAACCAACCTGTTTCCATTTAGAGCCCCGCCACCATGGCCCAAGGTTTTTATTTTCTTCAATAGCATGCATAAGTCGCAGCTCAAACACATATATAAGGGCACAAACACAACTAGCAAAGCATGCCTTGTCTGTGAGGCCCCCCCAGGATGTTTACAGCTGGGGTCAACCAGACCGAGATCTGGCTTTTTGGCAGGTTTACAGCAGGAGAAGGGAAACCCAGGCAAACCCAAAGAAAATATAAAGCCCACAGTCACAAATCGTGTGAATCGTCTCATAGGAAAATGCTTATGTTCCCTTATTGTTTTCTCATTAACCAGTTTTTATCAGTCCCAGTCCACTGTACCCTGCTCTGACTCTGCTTTGGAAAACCTTTTAGCCAAAAACATGATCATGATTCGAGGGACTGGCATTCACTGCGGTAATACAGACCAGAAGGTTCCTAAAAGCAGACACACACGCATGTGTACGCGCACTAACCAAAACATCCTGGCATCAATGAGTAGGGTTCAAAGTTATTATTAGTGTCAAAGAGTGATGAGTGTGTGTGTTTGTATGTGTGCATATGGTTCTCCCTCTCCCTCAGTCAGGGTTTTCCCCAAGAAAAGAGGCAGCCAATGAAACGGCAGCGGTGAACATATGTTCCTGCTAAAGAAGTGCTTTCAGTCATACATTTTTTTCATTTTCTACGATACATAAAAACTTTGTCGGCCATGTTTATTTTGGCAACATCTCCCCCAAGGTTTGTAGTCTGAGCCCTTAGGACAACTCCAGCCTCCAGTGTCTGTGTGCGATCGAGAGGCCAGTGTGTGAAATGTTAAGCTTAGATTGAAAGCATTTGTTTTTTTTGTTCATGGCAAGCTCAGTTATGCTTTGCCCTCTAGCTTCGCTACTCAACTGTAACACCAAATGTTGAGTGTTGGTCTTAAGCCCTGGAGGCCAATGTTTAAATAAATATAGAGTAGAAAGAAGAAGGAAGTGACGGAGAAAGAAAGAAAGACAGAAAGAAAGACAGAAAGACAGAAAGAAAGAAAGAAAGAAAGAACTTTTCTGACTTTTTACATTGTAACAAAAAGCTTAAATTAACAATTTTTCACAGAAGAAATTCTGCAAAGCATAGCCTCTCATTTGAATCAAGTTCCTCCGAATTTCACCAAAACGGAAGAGGGAGAAGACCAAGCTATTTTTAAGTAGGGGGACCAATTAAACATTTGTAACAAATTATGTAGAAACAGAGAAGGGTCTCTAATTAAATGAGACAAAAATGTAACTATTCTGCCAACAAGGAAACTGTATGTCAGCCTGAACAGATTATTTCCACAGCAGTGGCAGCATCATGCTGTGGGCATTTTATTTCTTCCTCGACTGGGTCAGAAATGCGTGCTTATGGTTGAAGGGAAGCAAAAGATGAGATTTCTAGAAGAAAACTTATCTATGACTGCAAAAGGTAGGAGAAAAAATTGAGAAGGTTGTTTAAAGCTAGTGCTGACATTTCCTTAAAGACATGCAGTTGCCATTGGTATTATTCAGCAAAGTATTGGCCAAGTATAAATGCACATCGCATCATTTTAAACTTCTGTGTATAAATATTTTTCCACTTATTTTCTCAAAAATATTAAATTTTTTTTGTTTTCACAAATAAAAATATCAAATACATTAAAAATCATAAAAAAGAAAAGAGACCATCCTCTGTTTGTTCTCCTTCATTCAGAGCACTTTCCCTGCTTTCACGTGGTCTTTGTTACTCCTGCAGCTTATCCAGCTAACGAGAGCCACTCCTGGCTGCAGCGCTCTCTTCTAGTGCACTGCCCGCTCTTTGAAATGTTTATTAGAAGCAGCTTGAGTGTGACTTTGTGTGTGTGATTGAGAAGGGTGCAGGGGGCTCTGGTATGCACATGTGTGTGCCAGCTTTGGTGTCTGACAGGCTGGGGGGTCTGCACTCTAGAAATGGGGCTTCTTGAACCATCTCACACTGGCTGTGTCTAAGCCCTGGAGACAAATGCTATGTGGTAATAATGTTAAACTCATGGGGTCCATCAGTAAACACCCCTTTGACCATTAACTAACAAAGCAGATCCAATAAATCTAAAGAGAACAGACCATAGAGCTCAGATGCTCAACAATTAACCATCACATCCAAATGAAATGGTTACTGTTTTCTCAATTAAACATACTTATAACTCATAAAGATTACAGAAGCACATCTCTGCCATGTTGTTTAAAACTCTATAGCAGGGTTCCTCAATTTCAGACCCAAAGGTCCAATTTCTTGCACCTTTTAGGTGTGTCTCTGCATACACACCTGTATGCAATGGTTGAATTGCCTCGTTAGCACACAGTCAGGTCCTTGATTATTTGACTCCGGTGGGCTGAAGCATTAGACACTTTAAAAAAGGTGCAGGAAAACGGACCTTAAAGACCTAAATGTGAAATTCTGGTCTTTGATTTTGCAAATTTTCATTAGTGACACATAACAGAAAGCAAAATGGAAAACAGGAAAAACAATGACTGCTTGTATTGTATACTTGTACAAACATAAATCTAAATACTCAATTCTCATTTTCAGTGTCAAAAAGGGATGAAGCTTTATATTTTTCTTGGAGCGCTTCATACACTTCAGGTTATCAGACATGATACAAGTTGGATCATCTTATCTGCTGTATCCTGATTTTTTCAAATATTTCATTTCTCTATGGGATTAATAAAATATTTTTGAATTAAATTGAATTTTATTATTATTTATTGAATTTTGTAATTTAGCTGTCAGATCAGCATTAGATAACTCATAAACAATACAAGTAAAAAAGGTTAACTGAAAAGTAACAGTTAAATTTAAGGCCATCGGCTCGCTTTTTTCACACAGGACCACAGGTCGGATTTGAACATGTGTTCGAATCCGGACTAAGGCCTCCGTACATGGGTCATGCACGCTAAGCACTGCGTCACCGAAGCACGCCCACAGCTTTAACATTTATTTAAATACACAGAGTATACATCAAACAGCCTATGGGCCTAATCCAGAGCTCCCACAACAACTTGGTCATTTTAGGTCATAACATAAAAATATCCAGCATTTTATTTTTTATTTTAAAAAAGAAACACTGGGAAAAAATATAATTTACAAAGTGGCTAAAACTGCTAAATAAATGGGAGTACTTTTATACCACCAGAGTGGTGTGATCTAAATGAAATAGAAGGTTTTATCTATAAAGATGCAACTGGCCCTTTATAAGACTTGATAAAGCATTAGTGGCCTGACTTGTAAGGCATTAGGGGCATAGAAAAGAAACAAAATTAAACAAAATATAGCAGCATTATGAAAAATGACATTGGCCATGAATAAAGAGAAAATATAAGCTTTAGATTTTTAATTTTTTTAATTTACACCGTGTAAAGTCTAACAAATATGCCATGAGAGAATTGGCTCAGAATTACCATCGAAGTTAATCAACTTTCATTGCAAAATCTCCTGTCCCATGCATTTATGCACAGAAAACATTTGAACACAGATGAGCTCAGTCTAAAACACTATGATGAATCAAGACTTTTCTATCTTCAGCGCTACACCTGCTGCATACATTATGAAATGTGCTTCTTTTTTTTTTACAATCATTTGTAATATACTCACAAAGTCAGAAGACACAAAGACAGTATATCTTATAAACAGTTCAGTTCCAAAAATTACATCTAACCATCACAAAACTAAACATGACACCACAGATACAAAAAACAAACAAACTGAACTTTACATGTGGTAACAGCAAAACCAAACAAACTCGTGTTGGCCTCCATTGCACCAAAACAGAAGGTCTCAATTGTTTTACTGCTCAAAATCTGATTGCTAAATGTGTAATTTGTGACATGTGTTTGTCTATGTGATGAGTTGTGTTCAAAGTGTGCTTTAGAACTACATCTAGGGAACAGAGCAATAAATGTGTTTATGGTTCAGCAGAAGTGGTTCAAGGGGTTGGTGCACGAGTTACATGTAGGGGTCAGTGTGCCTCAAGTACTTTTTTGTGTTTAAACAAGTGAAAAAAAACTGTAAACTGTAAAACTGGCTTGCTCATTCTGAGTCTGACTTCGTTATCATGGCGATGGACCCTTTAACTTCGCCTGGTTAGGACCAAATTTTGGTTCAAACCAGATACCTGAAAATTGTAGCTCCTAGCTCCTTTTCCTAGCTCCTATGCCTCTCCCTTTCATAGGATCTTTCCTGACACTTACCTGCACTGTTTGAAGGACAGACATTAATTTAAGGACCAGGACTTATATAGGGAATTATATAGACTCTAGCACATCAAAAAGTCAAATTTTTTCATACATGCTAAATTCCTGAGCGGGAACCTTTGTATTTGCTTCTTACACGGCATGAATATGATGCACATGTGGCATGTTTGCAACACTAACATCAGTGTCCAGTTATGTCACAAATTCTCCACCAGCCCACTTCGGACCAGAAGATGAGCTTCACATCCGACATACAGTAGGTAAGTCCACATTTAAAAAGCAAAACAGCCTGGGAAAGGGGACTGCAACATATTTATTTTCTTTTAGTAACTGGTCAAAAAAATAAAAGCTGCCTCATTGTTATATATACTTTAATTGTACCAAATGTTGCATGTTGAATAGCAAATGTTTAACTCTAACATGTAATGCTTTATACGCAGCTCTACTGTCATCGTTCTGTTGTTAGTATTAGAAATCAGACTTTCTAAAGGTGACATGTTTTTTGGAAAATTTTCAAATCTGAAAAGCAATATTGTATGTTTTGTTTCCATATTTTTACCATATTCATTGGAGGACATTGTGCTTTGATTAATACTTTTCAAACTTCTAAATTAGTAACTTTTCAAATTAGATGCATAAAATATTCGGGTTTTTAAACAAAGCTAATGATTATAACCAATTAATGGTTGAATAACATAAATAATGAATTAAAAATACTAACTATATGTGTTGCTTTGCTCATATGTTTATTTATTCAATATTTAGGAGCAAGAAGGTTTTTTTTATGAAAAAGCTGTTTGTTGATGTATGGATTTCAATTAAAATGGGATTAATCAATCATAGACTCTGTAATTAACTCCAATAAATGTTTAATTGAGTGCCACGACTTGACAGACATTTTTGGACCTCTGGGTGCAATATAAATGTATAAATCTGCCCCATATTTCAAGTGCCTGAGTCTTTTTATTTACTTGTTAAAGTAAAGACGGTGTGACCAATCAGAGCTGACCATTTTGGACTTCGTTTTCACCTGTTGCATGGACCATGGGTTTTATTGATGGCAACAGTGTTTCCCTTTTATTTCTATTTCTCTATTACATGTCTTAACTCTTGATAGCTTTCTACCACTTTCTATATATTCATGTTTCTCCATGTTTTCTAAGTGAACACATTTATGAACTGCAGCTGCTCTAAATAGTTGAACCTATGTTGCATTAGTGACATTAGGGAGGCGAGGCGGCCTTTTGGTGACACCAATTAAACAGCTTCATTTCTTGTGCCTAAGGTGAGTCAGAATAAGGCGTCCAAGTCTGGCTTTTCTGAGTCAGTTATATAAAAAAACTCTTCTGTTCCATTTTTCTGAGAAAACTCACCTCATCATCCTTGTACCAGGACAGGGACTCGGCCGTGAGGACGAACCAGTACTCTTTGGCTCCTCCCTTCATGATGCCGATGTTGTTGATTGTCAGCCAGCCCTTCCTGATCACCTGATGACCAGATGAATCCACAAACGGACAGAAATTATGATAAATTCAGGACATGTTTAAATTCAACCTTAAATTCAAAGCTTTTTTAGTTAAATATTATCAGAAATTTAATATGTTTGCAAAAAAATGAGTGAATAAAAAAATACGCTTCTACGATATCAATCACAAAAACTTTCACCTACATGACTAAAGTCACACATTTCTTTTAGACACTTTAATTTCTACTTTCTCTTCCTGGACCTCATTCTCTCCTCATTACAGACACCACACATGTATTATTTTCTTAATTCGTGCGGGTTATTTACCTTGAACCGATCGCTAACTCCTCTCTCCGGCTGAGTGAGAATGTGGAGAGAATGTTACAAAGCTATGCCAACAAAGGGGGAATTTCGAAAAAAGGCCAAATACACAGGATGGCTGCAGCTCAAAATACCAGCTGCCAGAACTACAACTGGGGGACAGCAAGCAAGGTGGGGAAGAGGAGGGAATGATGCTGAAAATGCTAAAAAAAATTCTGTTTCTTAGACCATGCACTGCAGTGCAAAGGCTTTATTGCATAACGGCACAGTGCTTTTGTCATACAGGTAAGCATGTTAGCATTTTTAAGCAAGAATGTTTTTTGATATTTTTGTAACCTCACCTACTATTCTATCTTACAAAAAAACTTTCTAAGCACTTTTATCACACTGCTAAAGTTTAATTTTCTTTGAAAATATGGCAGTACTCTATTTCAAAATAAAATAGTGGTGTTTGTCCTTCACCAGAGCTGTTCTTAAAGAATGTTCATATCATTTTAAATCTATCCTTGAAATATATTTTTACCTGAAATAAAATATGTTTTATACAGTAGAATAATATTAGACTAAATATAAACAGAAATAAACAACCCATAATTTGTTATTTATCTAAAGAGGAATTAAAATCCAGCATGACAACAAACAACAAGAAAATGTTTGAAAAAAAGAATATGAGGGTCAGCTTGAAAATGTCCTCTGTGATTATTTTTGACAGCTGCAATTAAATAAATTGCAATGAGGTGATTCAAACCAACCCCCCCCCCAAAAAAAAACCAACCTACCATATGTGGCAAGATAAAGTATAAGGAATCAGACTCATGGAACAAACACTATACACTAAAACAACATTAAGAGGTATTCATTAATCAGATACATTAGAGGGTGGCCACCCTTTGTTTAATCCTGAGAATTTGTACATATGTCTTGTGAAAAAAACTGCATAATTATATCTATTGACATCTCTACCATCTGCTGAAACAAATGTAACTGCAGCGTGTGGTTCAGAGTATCAACGAATATTCAGTGTATTTAATAACTTTCTGTCTCCCTGAGGTGTAAATACAGTCTCGCACAGAGACCTTTTTCTGGTACCAAACTCTGGTCGACTGGGTAATTGAAGCCATTATTCAGATGTATCCTTAATTAAGCTTGTAAACATCTACAGCCAGAGACTTAACCAAAGTTTAAATGATTGAAAGTGTGACAAAAGAAAGCGATGAGGCCCCATGTTTATGTTGAAGCTGTGCAGAGCAAGCTTACACTTTGATAATGGCAGTAATATTTCAGTATGAGAGGATTCCATTGCATTTAAGAATACATTTATTTGAAGGTGTTGAGCAAATCTTTTCCTGGGGTTCATGATCAACGTGGAGGCTGCAGTATAACAGGGATCTGCTCGACAGTTTTCTACTTTTTTTTTTTTTTGTGAAATCTTAACTTAAGCACAATCACCTGATTAAATGCAATATATGAGCTTTTTTCTTAACTTAAAAACTAACCGCTGAGCTGCATTTTAGAAAAGTGTGAAGGTGCAAATGTAAAACAAAAAAAAAAGTAAATAAATAGCTGCTGGTTTTCAACAGCAAAGAACTCCAGGTTCCAAACAGGAAGTGAAGTTCACCGATTTGTTTATAGTGTGCCCCTGACCTTTGGCCCCAATCATGTTGGTTGTTATGACAACTGAAAACAGCAGGGGTGCCATATGTGCCTCATACTGCAGGTCTTGTTATGCGTCTGTTCTTCTGTTACTTTATGTAAATATAAAAGGGACACTTTGATTTATAAACCATAAATAATGCTTTTAAAAGGCCTTCAAATCTTCATCACTTCTTTGATTTTTCTCTATCTTTAAGATGATCTTTTTTTAATTAAAACTAGAGCTGGAGAAACTCTATCCTATCAAAACATATATTGTTTAATATCTTAACTTTTCAGTCTAGCAGTCTAGCATTCTAGTGTTTTTGCAAAAAGACAAATAAGGGATGGAAAGGGAAGCAGCTAAGCATATGTCATCTGAAAGCATCTTTTTTTTTTTACAAAATAAGTAATTTAACCCAAATATATCTAGAATTTACTGTATGAAATGTTTTTAAAGAGAAAAAAAAGTTTTAATATATACAGGATTAATCTATCTGCATAAGCAAAAAATTAGCTCATACGCAGTGGAAGAAAAATGTAGACATGCATATTTAAAAAACTGCACAGCAAACTCACCATAATTTCATCCTGCAACAGAAAAAAACCCAGAGAGGCAAAGAAAGAGGGGAGGAATAGAGAAAACAATTAAAGGAAACAAGCAGTGCTGTGAAAGAGTGTTTACCTTCCTAATTGTGTATTTTGCTTTTATCTGTTAAGGTTTTTTGTCATCAAATTAGACAAAGACAACCTGAGTTAATTAAAAACTATTTTTTTTAAATTTGATTATATTTAAAATCATAAAATCATAAAAAAGTGGCCCCAAATCAAATAAATGGAGAAGACAAAGACTAATTCAGCAAAACTGGAGCATCTTTTTAAACACTAGGATTGTGTTCAACATCATACTACAGCATCTCAGTTGGATTTAAGTTTGGGCTTTGACTAGGACAACCTACATTTTTTTTTTTGTTTTTTTTTTCCAGCCAGCTTCTGGCTTCGAATTGTTTTCCGACAAACTAACCCAGGTGCCTTTGGGCTTATGGTCACAAAGTGATGGTGAGCCATTTTAGTTCAGCTGTTCCTTGTAGAAAACAGAATTCATGCTTCCATAAATCGTCATCAAGGTCTTACAGCTGCAAAGCAGAACCAGATCATCACAAAATCTCTACCATGTTTGACTGTCATTATAAAGGCTTTTCTTTTGTTTTTTTTTGCCGGAATGCTTTGCCAGATGTAAATGGAGGCATGGCTCCCAAAAAGATTATTCTTTTATCTCTTCAGGCCAGGAACAGTTTTCCTCAAAGTCTTCAGATCATCAGGATGTTTTTTGCAAATATAATGTGGTCTTTGTGTTTTTCTCAGTCAGCAGTATAGGAACTCTTTTTCTTATTGTTGATTGGTTTTCTGGAGACCCAAGAAAACATGCTAAATCCACTCAGAAAGGCCCTGACCAGGATTTGAACTGAGAACCTTCAGAGCTGACAATGGCTCCACTCTGCAACCTAAAGCAATTACGTTTCCTCATGTGCCGACACAGCATTGGCTTTCACCAAAAAGCTAAAAAATTCTGACGATCAAACAACTGCTGCATAATAGCGCGCAACACATACAGTACTACAGATGACTCCTGCTTTGTGGAGGAATCGGGAAGTCGTCCGTGGTAACAAAATACTGTTTAGCTGAGCAGCATTTAACATGAGAGGAGACAGGGAGTTGAGTGCTGACAGAACGAAGCCTGGAGGGAAACTGCACTTAGTCGTCTGGTTGCCGTCCAAAAGATCAAACACATTTTAATCATTTCAGCCTTAGATTTTAGTTACCCTACAGCTCATTCTTCTACTTCTTCCTTGGAACAATATTGGCTGGAGAATATGAAGGTAGAGTGTTTTTCTAATGGAAGCACCTGATTTCCAGCTGTCTTCTTCTTGTTCATTTGGTTGATCCTCTGCTGAGCACTGTAAAATAAAAGAAGGGAGAATAAGCTTAGACAACAATGCCAGGACTCTAAACAAGAAGCCTTTAAAAGAAAAACCTACTTTGCAAATCCAATGAAGTCTTCATGGTTGGTGTTCATGTAGGACAATTCAATATCAATCAGCAACAGCACCTGTACAGAGAAGCAGACAGCAATCTGTCACTGAGGGATGTTTACTTGACATGCATTTAGTGGAGACACTTTCCCCCTTTACCAAGAGACCTTTTAAGGAAAATTATCTCAGCTTTGGATATTTTGTTTACATTAAGAAGAGGTCCTTGAATAGGAAAAAAAATGGTATACTGCCAGCACTGCAAAAAATCTAAATCTAGATAAGTAATTTTTTCTTAAAATAAGTGCATTTGTTCTTGAATTGAGGAGGTAAAAGAGACATTTTGCCAATGAAACAAGACAATTTACAGTTAAAATAAGAAAACACAGCTGCATTGTCTTATTTCAAGTGCATATTATCTAATTATCCTATTTTAAGAGTAAAATTACTCATTCCATTGGCAAACTATCTCATTTACCAACTCAAATTAAGGGTGAATACACTTAATTTAAGAATTTTTTACTTATTTCTAGATCGTTTTTGCAGTGAGCGGAACGCTGCCAACTGTCACAGAGAGACTTTTTAGGTAATTTGCAATAACAGTTTTTCATAAAACTTAAAGTTATTAAGAAAAACAGCTGCATTAAAAGTAGGTAAATGAAACCTCAATGTTTTTGCAGCATCTCCTGTAAAGATGATTGAAAGCAATGATATTGCTATAAAAGTAAAAGTTTCCCATTTAACGAGTTAAGGTCTGCTCCTAAACACTTGTTGATTTCAAAGACAATAAATAAAGCCATATTTATTGAGCATCTCATGGAACCAAGAGATGAAGCAATAAAAATATATGTATTTAATTATACTTTCCTTTGTTCTGATTCGCAAACATTTTATAACTATATCAAATTTTGATCTTTATGATGTTTTTTCCCCCGATTAACCCTGGGAATCTATACTGTTTGTTCTTACATCTATCAGGAATATAAATAAAGGGCAACAATAAAAGTCAAGTAAAACATTTCAAAACTTAGATATCAAAAATGCATTTTTCTTTAAAGGTTTGTTTATCTTATTTTTTTAAAACAAAATACTCCCACAGTTAAGATATTGTATTCTAAAGAAAATGCAATAGGTAATCATTTTGGTCAATGTTAAAAAAAAAACAGTATGATTCGAAATAAATATATATAGACTCAAAAAGATTAAATTACTTTCTGCTTTCGATTTATTGCAAACATAAACCAAAAATAATCCCTAATCAGACTGGGAGAAAAGACAAAAAACCTTTTATAACATTTTTATCCAGATGTAAAATATTCTATTTAAAAAATGTGTGACTCTGTTTGGACATTGAGTCAGTTTTTTGTTTGTGCCCCATTAGGTAAACACAGCTTCAATGTGTCATTCCAAATATCTAGCTTATATTTATTAGCAGTTTAAGCTGTTTTTCACTAGCTGCATATCATCAATTTGTGATACACTTACGCATTCTGGTTTTTGGGTTAATGTATTTTTACACAAACTTTTCCAGTGGTTTTATTGTATCACAAATTGATCATTACCAAACAGATAATGGACTCTCTGGTCTCTGATTTTGCATTTGAAACAGACTTGGACCTCAGTAAAGACAATATTTATACTTACCGGTAATCCTACAAGTGACAGACTTTCTATTAACCGTGAATGTAGAACCATTTATTAAAAGAGTAGATAGACAATTTAAGGGTTATGGAAAAACATTTTTTTTACATAAAAAAGAAAATGAATTATTTTGAGATGGCTTTACAATAGCAAAAACCATAGCACAATGATTTAATTTAACATGTATTTGCTATGTTTTTTTTCCTACATGAGTGCTGATATTCTCTTTTTGGTTTTTCAATCTCAGGAGGTTCAAAGAAGATGAACAAATAAACTGAGCCTTATCCTGCAACAAGGTTTTCTTCTTTTTAAAAGGGTGCAGTTCATATGCACTGTTAAAACATGCTGTCTAAGGGTGGGGCAATGGCTAAAAGTTCAGTTTACATGAAATCACAATGTGATTTAATCAAATCTGCTGCTAATTTGTGCTTTATAAATAAGCAGACCGAAATGGAACTCCATTTCAAACTAACAGCAGATGAAGCAACTAACTTTATTGAATTAAGCAGGACATCGAAGGAGAAACCAATTATCTTTATTGAGATGAATGTAATTCAAATTCTGTCAATTCCATAATTCAAAAATATATGTTTTTCCTTAAAATATGGTATTCTCTTTGTTTCTTCTGTGCAGCTATATAATATTTCTAGTTGTGAGAGCATAACTCACAGAGAGCAGTCTAGGTTGAATCAAATTGTATTCATTTTCAAAGCAAAAGTTAAAATTTCCTTCTTAAAAAAGTAAGGCTATAGGAGACCATTGTGACTGCATCAGCAAATATAACCTAAACCTATGAAAAATGTGTCGAAAAGGTGATCAAGAACTAAACTGTTTCTATCACACAGGTTAATAAGTAGTTAATCACGTCTTTTTGGGTGTACCTGATCCTTGGTGCGGTTTTCTCTGTCTCTGATGTGCTGAGTGACAATTCTCTCCATCTCTTCTCTCAGCATGGGATACTGAGCCAGCTGTGAGCACAGAAACCAGCAGGTAGGAACATATGAGCACACACAGTAGGACATCAACACACAGCATTACACTCCTCACTGAACCACAACATTTTAGCTGCACTGAAACAACACCTTTAAATGTACTTTATTCTGAGGGTTCTGGGTTCGTCACAGACTCGGTTCTAATCCCTGCAGACTTTGAGGAATTGTTTCAAGATTGGATTTCAACTTCTGAATATCTATCTGTTGCCAAAATAGGAGGAAAAAAGGGATAAGAGCAGAATCTGTGATATTACCACACAAAAGACAGAGTAAACAATGTTTCTGGCAGAAAAGCTTCCTCTTCCCAGCACACTGCTGGTCTTTTTCCATGAGCTCATTGCAAACCCACAAGCACAGACGTTGGTGGGCCTCCAATGTGACATGAACACGTTAGCCAAAGTGTGAGGAAAGAAGAAGAAAAATCAAAAGCAAGCTGAACTTAAAAAGTAACACCCAGTGCAAATAAAAAAAGAAAAACAATTTGCTGTTTCTGTTTAGGTCACAATGCATCTTTTGACATCTAGATGATGGTTTGATGGACAAAAGAGGAGTGTAGATTGAGCCATTTTTGATCCACAAGCAGATTTAATGCTTTCTGTATCCATTATAGGGCCGATGATGAAACCACAAGCTGGACAAAAATGCAGTACTGAAAGTTGAACTATGACCTTGTTAAAATTTGAAATAGATGAAGAGGGACTGTTTCTTTGAGGTCACTCTGTCACGGTTTCCCTCTGTCTACATGTTATAACTTTAGGTGACAAGCTGGGTCTGGTATTAATAAATTTAACTTTGGTGCAGCACAGAAAGATAAGATGGAACTTATATTGCATGAATAATTGAGGTTTTTCTCCATTTCTGCCCGCTGAGCTTCATTTGAGGGAGATTTTCATTTTTCCAAAACCCTGTTAGAGGTTTAAAGATAAAAGCTGTAATTCATTCAAGGGTAGCTGCGTTTTGTCACTATTGTTCCATCAGGAATGGAAAAACAAATTTGAAGGAGGAGGATTGTGAGGTTGTTTTCACAATCACAACTTATCAGGAAACTTTCAAAACTAAAAAGAAAAAACAACGGCATAATAAAAGGCAGATTCACCCAAATTAAAGGGAAACATGAAAGATGCATTGTAGCTTAAAGTCAGACACAGGATGTTAAAAATCCAATGTGTTTACTGTTTAAAACAAAAACTCAACCAGAAACACATCTTACACTTAAATTGGACAAAATACATTTGCTTTTTCTCCTCAAAGAACAGACATACTGTACTGTAAGATTAACATGCAATGCAAAGAGTCCAAGGAAGGAAGGCACAAGACAGGGAGGAAGACCTTAAACTGGCCTCTTTTGGATTTCTCTAAATATTGTATATGAGAATACAGTATCATGAAATGCTGTATTTCTCTGAGAAGAAAATGTGTGAGAGGAAAAGAGAAATCCCAAAGAGGTCAAGCTCTAGGAAGCAGCAGGTTTAAAGGTGTGTATGATAGAGGAAGAATAAAAAAAAATGAAATTAAGAGACGTTTTGAGAGAGTCGGTTAGTCGGTGAGTGACATGAAACAATTAGTAAGTCTGGTAAATTATAGTAAATTGACATGGACAGAAAAACTAAAACCTGTTTCCAAAAAAGGTGAGGAGCAAATAAGTAAGCCTAACTAGAGTTATATTTACTTTTACTTTATGATGAGCTGAACAAAAAATTATTACACCTCAGAAAATTATGGTTATTTTCCAGTTCACCTCCACTTTTATTTGTATTTTTACTTATTTGTATAGTAATTCTTACTTGTATACCTCACAATAATGAATAAAAACTTATTTTTCTTAATATCATATAAAGATACATGGATCTCACTTAATAACATTATTTTAAAACATCAGCTTTCTATACATATAAAAAGATACAGCTTACACAGTTTGACCTCCAGTGGATCCAGATTGCCACAGGTTTTGGGGGTATTAGTTTTAAAATTCTGCATTAAAACTCAGATATCCCACATATAAAGCATTAGTTCTACACTGCTCCAGAATTTATATATATGCTTCTTAAATATTGCAGCAATTAGGGAGTTATTCTTCATCTAAATCTACCATCATCAAGACACTATTTTTACACTAATGATGATGCACTCACCTCTGCATTATAAATGCTTAAGTGGTTCATTACTTAGACTTATAATTTTTCTCCCATTCAGAGTATGTTCAGCTCTAAGCATTTATTTATATGGAGGGGGGCTCAAGCAAAAACGACCCCCTTGAATTAAAAGCGACAGTATTTGATGTCCAAAAATGTTTTTTGGGGGGCCTTTTCTGGATTTGGTGAATAAGGATTACCTTTTTTCCATTTCTTAAATCATAAGGTTACTGTTACTAGATAAAGAATATTTTCCCTTTTAACGAGGCATAAAAAAACCAGATAACACTATCACAAGTTTTAAGATGCTAATAAATAATTTTAATGGGTTAGTCAGGAAATCTAATATAAATTCTACAATACACTGCCTTGTGTTACAACTTGGAAAAATCTAAATAAAAGCTGGTAAGAATTTCAGCATCTACGGTAAACAAGTCCTAAACTAACAAAGGTTTGGAAATCGCTCATAGAGGATGAGGGAACCTGAGAAAGTGTTTAGTCATAATGAGCATCACAAATCTGAAAGGAAATAAAAAAAGGAAGTTCTGAAGACCTGCGAAGATCTTTCAAGATGTAAAGAACAGCATCATGAAGGTGATACAGGACAGATTAGTGTACTTGGTGAAATCAATTTGATGATGAAGCAAAAAAAAGTTACGTTGGAGCTCCATGTAAATATATCAACTAATTAAAGGTTTGTGTGTAAATTGGTTTTCCAAACAGAATAGGAACCATGTCTTCCACACAATGCATGAAGCTGTTACAGAACCGAGGGCTCCTATAGTGAGTTACTGCTGCATCTATGGTGCATAAAGGAGCGTTATCACAGACCTTCCCTTTCATGTGTGTACCTGAATGTTGCATTTGTGTATTTCTTTGTTGCCGACACACATATGTTATTTCTGTCCTAATTCAATGTAAACTTAAAAATTCAAGAAAAGTGAATATGGCTTGTATATATGGCTGAAATAGAAATAGCGTTTCAGCAGCTTAAGGATTTATTTTTTTAGCAGCTTGTGTTTGAGTGACAACTTCCTCTGCAATCATTGAGTAAAAAGATGGAGGACTGAAAGATAAATTTGGAAATCTATCCTGCCCGGTCTCTCTACACTTAAGTAGTGCATTTAGTCTCCATCTGATTTTAATGCTGCATGTTTTGATGTCATTACTAATCTTTGCACTTTTGCTATGTAGTGAGTGATTTTTTGTAGACCCCAGATTTTTTTTATAGAATAAAGCAGATTAATCAAGTACTAAAAAAAAAAAAAATCATGTTAAATCAGCCTGACTTCTGAATGCAATCTAAGAATCTATACTGTTTATATTTATTTTACACAGTAGATGATCTAACTGCTCTGAACCTTTACTCTTATTGATATTTAATTTAGTGTTCTAGCTTTTTTGGAAACAGGATTATATGATTTTAATCAAAACAAATTAAAGGACTTCTAGACATTGAGAGGTAAAATACGAAATATATTTTTCTATTACATGCACTTAATAAGCTTAAAATATAGTCAATAACTTTGAGACTTTGAGACAAATGACAACAAAGGTCTACTTAAAGTCCTGATTGAATAAGGTAAGGATAGACTGATATTTGCCGAATGAATCTCAAATTCCATCCCTTTCAATGAAAGCTTTAGCATCTATTCCTTTTCCAAATTTCAAGCAAACTTATGTAAATTATCTCATTTAATCACATATTCATTGGAAATTTATTTAATGAGCTAAATATTTTGCTAATAGGTACTGATAACAAGGTAAAAAAAGCACAACGACTTTTCTCATCTGATGGATTCCAATGATTATATTCATCGTCTTTAAAGCAAAACATGATCTACAATGGCCTAAAACATGTTAAAACACACAAACATGTTACTGTCTGGATTATCAGCAAATTGATCCACATGTTTGACACTGGTAACACAATAAAATTGCGTGTTACTACTGTGAGCAAATAAACGCTTAAAGAAAATCCATATAATTATTAGTTATCAAAGACTTATAAACATTTAAACTAAATACCCGTTATTCAGGATCCATGGATTTATATTTTTAAATTAAGCAATGATACAATTAAAAGGATTTGTTTTAATGCTAATGATTATAATTATTTGATTTAACCATTTATAATTTGAAAGTTTTTGACGATCTACTGTGAATGAAGGTAACTCTGGTTAAAAATGTCTTCAGCCATCAGTCTACCCCTACCTGTTGGCTTAACAGAGATACTGAAAGTGTCTTTTATTCGCTTTGCCATGTTACCTTTTGACTACACTTCTGAATGGTCGAGGTGAGTTCGCTCACTACCATATCTATACACTTCAGTGTGGGCTCCTTCAGCTTTTGGATCTGCTTTTTCACTATGGCCTCAAAGGCCAGGTCAGGGGTAAAAAGCCCCGTCCTGTTGGGATAAGCAGGCGGCACGAGAGAGGGAGAAGCAAAAAAAAAAAAAAGGGACAAAGAAAAAAGAGCAGGTGAAGGGTGAGTTGGAACAGGAGATAATAATGGAGTAAGGAAATTAAAAGGTGGAATGAAAGAAAAGGAATAATAATTTGGGGAAATTTTATTAAAAGGGACAAAAAAGGTGAAGATGGAATAGAAGAGAGGAGAGATTCAAGATGAAAATGACGAGAAAGAGGTTGAGGGATTGGAAGGACAAACGGCACAGAAAGAAGAGACTGCGAGTGAGACATTTGGTTTTCCCTGAAGCCATTTTAAAACAGGACAGTGCTGAAGTCTCTCTCTATGAGGAAAGAGGAAACAGAAAGAAAAGGCCAGAGAAATAGTTAGAAATAGAGAGATCCCCCAGCTTGAACAACTCCACCAGCCAAAACTCAAAGCAACACTCAGCGAGACTGCAGATGTGCACCTGGACGTTCAGCCAAGACGCTACCCACCCACAGTAACGACCCACTCTTCGCCCAACCTCCATGTCCCCCGACTTTTAGCTGCATCCAAATCCTAACATTTACTGTCCAACTAGTCCATGTTTTTGCAGGCCAGCCGCTGCTGAAATCATTTGGTCACAGTGGATCCATTTGGATAAAGACTTCTGCTCATTGCTCTTGGCTTCGCTGCGAAACATGCGTCCCAGAGGCCTGATGAAGAGCCTTTAGGCCGCAACTTCCACGCTTGCAGGTGCACGGCTGCGGTCTCACATATGTGAAAGTTTGAAAACTGACATCATCTGATATGGTGGCAGGACAACTTGAATCCTATTAAATGCATTAAAGTTATGTTTGGATTGTTTAAAATACAATACAAGGAAAGCTTAGAGCTTCAATTTGGTCTTGAGTTCTGCAGAACCTTTAGAGTTAGTCCTGTGAACAATCATTTTCTGATGACTTTCAGCTTCCACACTGGATTTTATTTTCACAGCACAATCATAGGCAGCCTGTCCAGCCAAACCCGTCTGAAGCAGAACAACAGGCAGGCAGGTAAACAGCAGCCCACCCTGCCGCTCCAGGCAGCCCCCTCGCTGTCCAAGAACAACAAGAGCTGGAGGTAGCCAGGTGGTTACAGCCACAGGGAGTGAACGACTGAGAGACGAGGGTTGAAAGCAAGAATGAAACAGGTGCTACTCAATGTTTGTTTGGGATTTTTACCTTCTTGGTACACTGCCTAACTGTATTGACTAGCTCAGAAATGACCATGTCCACACATTTGGTGGAAGGCTCTTTAATCTTCCCAATCTGCCTTTTCACAATGGTCTCAAAGGCCATGTCCGGGGTGAAGAGGCCAGTTCTGTCCGAGACGGAGAGAACGAGCCACAGCAGGGCCAAAAGATGGCAGAAAGGTGGTAGAAATAAAGAAAAAAAAGGAGGGTTGGATAGAGAAAAGAATGTTAATTATGAAGATTCACCCTTTAATCCCGATTTTCCACTAAACTGATCACATTCAACTTTAGAAAAGAGGTTTTATCTATATATATTTTTTACCTCTTTTTTCAGTAATAGTTTCCTGAAGACAGGTTAGATGATTAAATAGATTTACCTCAGTAGACTCTTCCATAGATTTAGGAGCTTATTAAATCATTAGCATTAGAAAATTTTAATATTTAAAACAAATTATTTAGATCTACCAATTAAAAAGTGTTAGGCACATCCTTAAATTTAATATATATATATATATATATATATATATATATATATATATATATATATATATATATATATATATATATATATATATATATATATATATATATATATATATATATATAATTTACTCAGGATTTTGCATTTAAGAACTTCTGGCAACCAGATGATTAAGGATATATCGGAACTTTTCATCTTGTTTATTGATTGTCCCACTTGGTGACGTGTTAACCAACCATCACTGGGCGTGCTAGTTTTCTTTACTAGCTTCGGTTTTAGACTTTCAGTGGAGCACAACTGCTCTCACTGCATACTTTAAAATTTCACCAATGCTGTGACCGTAGTGGCTCTGTACAACGAGGCTCGGGTGTTCCCCCTGAGGAACAGGAGAGCAAGTAGGATTGTCTTGTATGAATGCAGAAAGTGAGTTGGGTGTTTGTTACCTATGTTTGTGGAAAAATCTACTAGTTTACAATGTACTATTCAACCAACCCAATGCTAGAAACAAACAAAAAAACAGAATTTCTTACAGGAAAAACATGAAAAATCATCTTTGCATCTCAAATTAGCATTTCTAAGTTTGACATGTCCTGAAATAAGATCAACTAGCTGGAAACTTGAACATCCGACTCCTTTCTGGTCTGGCTCTAGTTTCTGGCTGAATATTCAAACTACTACAAGCTTGATTAATCAGTAGTAAACAGGTAACAGCAACATTACTCCTTTTCAATCTTTTAGCTTTCATGTCATGGAGCATGCTTTATTTGATGTTAAGGGTCAATCCTTAGGTCTTAATATTAAATCCAGTTTTTAATCCATTTCTCTGTTACAGAATGTGAGACCTCCGCCTTTAATGTAAATAAGTCATGGCTGCTCCTGCCAAAAAAGAGATAAAATAATATTTATTCATAATATAAACTAAAACTGGATAAAATTTATATCAGCGCAACTCTGAACCTGGTTGCATCTCAAGCTGATTTGTATTACTCTGTATAGTTTTGTCATATTCTTCAACAAACTAAACACCTAAATCTAAATGCAATTATTTCTGCTCCTTAACTCTGTTTGGAATATTATCAAAAACAATTCATTTCAAAGCCCTTATTATGGAACCTTGTAAAGTTACTGAGTAAATAAATAAAAACAGATGTAAAAATCTGTTCAGTTTAATGAATATTTTAAAATATTTAGCAAGTATTTAAAAGAATTGAATAATAATATGATTTGCTAGCTCACAGTGAAAAACGGCACCTCTGTGAGTTCAGTTCTTTATAAACATATGTCCTGCATAAATAGAGCAGAATGCACTCCTAAAAACTGTTGATATATCTTGCTGGGTTTGACTAACCAGACGGACACCAGCATGGATATGAAAGCAAATTAAATGGTCAGAGTTTTAGGTATCTTTTAACAGCTATCATATTCCTAAACTCCTATGTTGGCATGCATTTTGACATCTGCTCAAGGCAGAGCAGCCCGTTTCAAAAGGTCTGGGCTCAAGTCAGAGACTTCTACATCAGGTGGTGGTAATTTAAAGATTGAGGGAGGGAGATTGAGGAAGGACAGAGGAATAAGTTAAAGGACGGACGTGCCTGATTCCATGAATGTTCTTGATTGCATAGCTGATTTCCTTGCGGAGTTCTTTCTCATCAAACTCCATCTGAAAAACAGGCAGAGAGGAGATCAAACATACGCACACAGAGACATTAGATTCTGGCAAACAGAGAGCAGCAGACATCGCAGGAGTTCCTCCATTAACATTTAAGCATCTGTTTTTGATATATTCAAGCAAATTTCTCTGTTTTATTTAGTGCAACACCACATTTATAACCTGCATTCCTAAAGCTAAACGTTTTCATCTGAAACACTCTCAATAAACCAATAAAACATGATGATGAATCACCCAAGGCTTCCTGGATTCCCAGTCAACCCTGCAGTTAGGAGGCAACCTGCTTTGTCCTCAATGGCAAACCCACTTGGAAGTTCCATGCAGCCTTGGACAACAGTAAGTTTTATTTCCACAGAGGGAGGTTGAAAGAGGATGCACGAAAGAGCTGGAAAACTAGGAGGAACTGGATGCTGGAAATTATGACTAGTACAGGTTGGTAGAGGGGATTTTTGGGGATAACCACCATTCCCCAGAAATCCATGGGTTTATTTACATTGCTGACTGGTAAAGGAAACTCCTGCGATTGTGCGTTTTAGGTTTTTGCCATAATCTACTGAAACCCTAAAGAGAATTGAGCAATAATTAATGTCTCCAATTAAAGTTTTTCCTGCTAAAAACATAGGAAATATAGAGGGAATACAATGTTAACAAAAAAAGAGAAATAATGAAAGGAATGAAGCATATTTTAATCTCAATGTGGGAAATTCCATCTCAACAGATAAACAGATGATATTACAATCAAATTCAATTTAAAAATTCTTTATTAATACCAGAGGGAAATAAAATATTCAAGCCACTCATCAGCCTTTTTTATTTAAATAAGTGTGCAAACCAATGCAAAAATGAATACACTAAATATAACACCATTTGACATTATTCCAAGGTTGTCCAAGGTTTTATATCTTTAATCTGCAAATAATCAAAAAATCTGAAATTAGCAATTAGCAGAATTATGCGAACCACACTTGTCTTTAGTTTTAATGTATTTTGAGAAATGAGGAAGATCAAACCTTCCACCCCAAAAGCCTTTTAACTATCACAACATTAGCCCCTCAGCAACCAAACAGGCGCGATCCTGAGTTTGAAGCTCAGCTTAACATATTATATGCAGATAAATAAGCGCATCTTTAAGAGGTAGGTATAGTATCCAAGTAGAGTATTACTACTTATAATTTTTGTCCTTAATTAAAAGTAAAATCAAACAAATATCTCAAGTAAGAGAAAACACGTGCATGGTAAAATGGTTATCAAGTGAATAACCGTTGACTGCTAACACTGGATTTATAGTTTAAGTGATCAGATTGACAGTTTTAGGCAAATTGTAGTATTTTTGGTATAAAACATAATTAAAAGAAAAAAATATGGACAAGTGTTTACAAAATATTACAATTTTTCATATAACTATTTTCAACATAAACTTATAAAACCAATCTTTATAGTAAGAAATACATATACATTGGGAAAGGATAAAGAAATTTTTATTTTTCCCAGCATTTTATTGTCATTACACTGTGAAAAGTACAGAGCAATGAAATGAACTCTCTGCATTTAACCCATCCCCTTGGGATCCCCTTTCAGGGAGCAGTGGCCTGCCACTGTGCGGCGCCCATTGAGCAGTGTGGGGTTAAAGGCAGGGTGACTTACCATCCAGCTAGCCAGCCACTAACTTCTAAAGACAATATCTACTGTTTACTGTATACATTTTCAAATAACTCAAAAGTGAGTTGAGTAACCAGAAAATTTTACTCAAATAAGAGGAGCAACACACTTACAAAAATCTTACTCAAGTAAAAGTAAAATGTACAATAAAAGAAATCAACTCCTAAAAGTTCTTTTTGTCCCCTAAAAGTTACTTGAATAAATGTAACTAGTTACTGCCCACCTCTGCATTTAAGACTTGCTGTAGATTTATTCTGAAAACCGTCCCTGTGATGTTGGTTCTATGAACCTGCAAAGGCATTAACCATTTTGGGGGGTAGAGCAATTCAGCACTAATTTAACGCTTAAAAAAAACTGTGCAAGATTCTGTTTAGCTTTGTTTTTCTACCTTTCCTCCAGCTAGCTGTAAACCACTAACAAGAGGACATGTTTCAAGTCAGGAGACTTGACCAAAGCGCTTTATACTAGAAACAGTAATTAACCCATTCAGTCACACACTGATGATGGCAAACTACATTGTAGCCACAGCTCCCCTGGGGCTTGCTGACAGAAGCGAGGCTGTTGTACACAGGCACCATTGGGCCCTCTGACCACCATCAGCACACAAGGAGGGTGAAGTGTCTTGCCCAAGGTCACAACAGCATTAAAAGTCAGAGCCCGGGCTTAAACCGATGACCCTTCCATTGAAGGACAAACTCCTGAATCAAACTAAGCAAATAGTTGTAATGTTTATTTTTTGCATGCAAGCTAAAATAGAAAAAAAAAGAGAATTAACAGAAGACTTTTTCAGACTGTAAGGAGTAATCAAACTTTTTGGTGTAAATAAAATGAGAAATGAAGAAGTACTAAACTTTTTTAACATATGACCATCATTCATCTTAAATAATACTGTACAATAGTTTACTACAAATCAACTAAAACGTGTAACTAGATTCCCTAAGACAGGATGCATCAAAGTATTTCTATTATTATTATAACCCCTGAATGAACAGTGGCTGTATTTTTATTGTGTTTTATGCAAAGCCTAAATTATGTGAAATAGCATAAAAGAGAAAACATAGTGAAAAGGAGAATGGAAAACTCAGACCATAAATAGTCAGCATTAAAAAATGTGTATGAAATTATTCAGAATCACCTTTATAACAATAATGTAACAACTGCTGTAGATTCATTTAAATATAACACACCTGAACTTGCTGCCATCACTTATGTTATTCTATAAAAACTGAGCAAAGGAGCTAAATTCATCCAAATTCTTAATATCTAAAAAAAAAAAAAAAAAAGATTAATTGGAAGATTTTTGTTTTGAAGTCAGGACAATCTTGACTTCAGAGAATAAACCAATAAGCATGTTTCTGACCAGAACTCAGAGACACCCACCTTGACCAATTCGAAGGGAAAGCGTTCATGAAAGATGCGATTGATCCTGGCTCCACCTGACAGCTCAGCCGTGTCGATCTGATCTCCTGAGCCCTCTATGCATTTCTCAAAGTCTACTGAAAACTGTTGCACCATCCTGTAAGCAATTGGGGATAAATGCATCATCAAGCATCCACTTACCACAAAATTTTACAGTAAATGTGTTTATATGCTCACTGGAGGAGAGCCTTTGTTTTGCGGGAGGGGTCATCAGGTCTGAAGTTCTTGTACTCCTCGACCTCCTTCTCTATGGAGAGCAGCTGACTCTGCAGCTTTGCCCTGAGGCCCGGCAGGGTATCTCTGATGTGGTTGGTCAGTTGCTGTAAAAGTCACAGATCACTCTTATCACTGTAAGGATGTGTGGGGAGGGGATGAAAAGCAACATAGAACAGCAGACTTTCCCCCACCTGATTCAGTACTTTCTGGAGGTAGGGCGTGCCCATGCGCTCGGCCAGGTGTCTGTAAGCAGGATGGGAGAGGAAGAACTTCCTCTCAGCAGCCATAGCAGCATTAATGTCCTTCTTTCCATCAATGTCTTTCTGGCTTCTGTTAACCACACCGATGTAACCTACAAGCAATAGACACCAGTTTCATAATTAAAGAGGAAAAGTCTAAATGTCTGTTTTCACAAGAGGAACTGATCCAGGTAATGTTAGAACTGCCTTACATTCAGGACTAGACCATAGCAGCAAAACTATCTCTTAAGCAAACAAGGGGATCCAACTAATTCAGATTTGTTTTATGTAGCTGAAAAGTTGATATAAAGAAAAGTATTTACAGTTTTCCATGTTTGGAGAAAAAGCAGGAAAAGAGATTGGAAAAAGTACAGGGAGTGTTCAGGGCAAAAGGATCCCATTTCATCCTCCAATTAAGTTCCCTGATCCCAAAAGAGCTTTTATGCTCTATAACTACTGCAAATCTGAGTCAGCAGACTCGTAAATCAAAACATCCACAACATTAGGCGGAGAGAGTGCTTAAAAAACAGAAAACATGAAAATATTCAAAAACATATGTCTGGGGTCTGACCAAGTTCAAATGGAAAAGACTGGATCAGCACATACTATAGCAACAACCCACAGAAAAGACACTCTTCCTCTGGGAGCTCTTCCTAATTTGTTCAAACTCTTTCCCTGCTGCAGTTTTATAACTTTTCATTTTTACCCTGATTTATCTCCCTCCCTCCCTCCCTTCCCTCACTCCATGAGCCTTCTGTTATTTTCCTCTTCTCCTCTTTAGGCAGTTCTGCCTTTTCACCACAAGAGGGAAACAATGTGTCACTGCGTTTCGCTGAGGTGGGGAAAAGAAGTTTGTTTATTCATCGGTCCTCACCTCTTCGCAGGGGAAGCAGCTTGTTCTCCAGGATGTCTTTAGCATCTGTCCCCTCATCCATCAGGTCTAGCTTAGTGATCACCCCTATGGTCCTCATACCTACAGGTGGTAAACACAGTCCACACAAACACATCCCATAAATAAAAAAAACAAATGTTCAGATGCTCTTAATGAAGGAATGGATAGTGTAAAAAAAAAGCTAAATAATGTGATTTTAGGCAAATTGCAGAGGCTCAATAAAGCCTGTAATAATTTGATAAAGTGTGTTTAAATGAAAGCAACTTCCACGTCCTTGGAGGTATGGAAAAATAATTAAAAGTATAAATATCTTTATAATGACACTGTGCATATAAATCTGTCCATTAAACTGTCATTTCTCTGTCATTCCCTCTGATCATCCATCCGCTGCTAACACTGAAAAAAAAATTAAACAAGTACTTTTTGGTCAAATAAATAGATTAATTCATTTTATATATTTACTCTCAGTAAATGTGTTTGATTTCTCTCTGTTGATTTGGAGAGTATATGTCTATGTGTTTGCTGGCATGCCCGTCCTCACCCTGAGGGTCGACCTCTTTGGCAATTTTTAAAGCGTCAGAGTTGGCCAGATCAGAGTTGGCTGGGGATACAGCGAGCATGAGGCAGTTCTCCTTGGTCACAAACTGCATTAACATTTCTCTGATCTGAGCCTCGATGTCTGCAGGCTGGTCTCCCACCGGCACCTTGGTCATTCCCGGCAGGTCCACCAGCGTCAGGTTCAGTACTGTGAGCAGGCAAGGAAACAGAGGAAATTGGATCATGTGAAACAAAATACAATGGTAAAATATTACATTGTGATTGGGTATGATGTTGATTTAAAATCAAAACAGTAACATCTATAAAATGAAGGGGTTGATATCAGGGTTACCATGAGGAGAGTAGACACGCAGGTTGATGGGAACAGGGGAGATGCCCTTATTGGCCCCTGTGATGCGGTCAGTCTCTGCCTCAATCTCCTGTCGAACCTCATCAAAATCCGTGAATTTTTTGCCCTTGCAGTGGAGGAACTCTGCATATTCTACATAACCAAGAAAACGGGAAACAAAATGAACAAAATCAAATCAAATCCATCAGAGCACCAATTTACTGCATGGAAACTTCGGATTCCATGTAGATAAAAAGTAATTGATGCCAGCAAAATTGTCCAAATTTGAATGTAATCCATATATAATTCTTCAAATTGTTCAAATTCATTGAGCGCCACCTTACTGAGCCCAAAGATGTAATAAACCTAAAACACATTTAGAAGTTCGGCTACAGTAAAACAAAAAGAAGCTTTAAAATGTACTTGGTTCAATTTTTCAGTACATGTCACTGATATAACGATTTAGGTGCAAAATTACAACCCTTAAAGATGAAATAGTATCCCCAAATGTTTTTTTTGTTTTTTGTTTTCTTTTCAAATGTTACAAACCTAAATATATAAAAATAGGAAATATTAACTACATAATGACGAGGCCTCTGCTGCTGGGGAAATTAACAAAACAAAACATTTCTACAAAACATTTTACTGTATATCAAGCAAAACTGCAATACTATTAACTATTACACTTTCATTCATGTTTTTAAATTGTCTATTAAAATGCCTAACTCTATATAGCATTTATTGGACAAGTGTAATTCTTAGTTAACTTGTTTAAATTTGTAATTTTACTTCAGCCCTCCCTTACCAAATTCAGTGCTATTTCCTGTAAGGGTTTCAAAATTTGTTCATTAATTAGCTTTATAGGTTTTAAATACTGAAGGATTTATGCATTTTACCTGTTGGTGAATTCATCAGCTGCAGAACCAAGGGACGACGGGTCACGATGCCAGAACCACGAGGAAGAAAGTCCCTGTCACACACAAACACACAGATAACATATTTAATGGTCAATGTAACGTAAAAAGCAGAGGCTGGAATTAAGCATAAGAAACATTTACTCTAGTAAATGCTGCAGTTGGAAAGGTATAAATATTAAAGAGGTAGGGTGGACCCCATGGTAACAAGAAGAATTGGAAGGAGCCAGCAATCAAAGTAGAAAGTTACTTGTATGTATGTATGTATGTATAATATTTAATGTAACTGTGATGGCCAAATCCATGGCCACACTCTGAAGTTGACAAAAGATGGGGGGCCAGGGCTCAGCAAATTTGGATGCTGATTGGACTGCACCACTGGTCCTTGCTGGCGGGGGAATGTGTAGTTTCTTTCTTTAGATGAGTTTTTGCATTTAGGTGAATATTGGTATTTGGACTTTAATGGTTTTGATTTTCATTTTGTGAGTCTTTAGTTTAGTCAAACTTAGCTGTACTGTTATTTGTTTTGTTTGTAATTGTATTCTGTTTAGTTACCCCTATTGTGTCTAAATTGGTCTGATCAGCCAGTATATATACCCCTGTCTGTCATTTCTTTGTAGGTCAGTTATGTTTGTTTGTACAGCCAGTTTGTTTACATTTTTGCCTGAGTTCAGTTTTGTTCCTTTGACCTCTTTTATGAGCTCAGTTTATCTTTTGTCATCTATTTTTTGGGTTAAAATAAAAAACCCTATTTTTCTAATTAATATCCTGTGACTCCTCCTGTTTTTTTAACTCGGTCCATCACATGTGGTGTCAGAAGTGAGGATTTTGAGTTGAGGAGCCAGGATTTTTTTTCTTTTCTCTGTTTTTTTTTTGTGTGAGCAATTTTTCCCCCACCAACAAACTTTTTGAGCCATGCAGAACGGTCTGCGCCCAAGAAAAGGAAATAAGGTTGAGACCAAAGAGGCTTCCCAGCAATCAGAGAGTCAGGAAATGGAAGGAGGAGCTTCAGCAGCAGCAGCTGAAGCCACTGATGAGGAGGAGCCCAGAGAGCCAACTCTGCATGATATTGCTGGGATTCTTCGGGCTTTCATGGGACAACAGGAAGTTCGGGAGAAAAAGCAGAGAGAAGTTTCTGCACAACAAGAACAGCGCTTTAGGAGCTTGCAACATCAGTTTTGGCTTTTGCAGATGGAAATACAGGCCAGGACAACCCCGCCCCCTGAGCCCACATCAACTGATCCACCACCTGTTACAACTCAAATTGATCAGATTCAAACAACATCTCAACCTGAGGATTCAGCTTTCAGCTCAACAGGTCAGTCTGTGCACCTTCCTCATCCTAAATTGGAAAAATTGACTGCTGAAGATGATGTTGAGCACTTTCTGACCACATTTGAGAGAATTGCAGCTGCTTATCGTTGGCCACAATCGGACTGGGTTTTCCATCTCATTCCTCTTCTGACGGGTAAGGCTCGCTGTGCCTATGTTAACATGGATGTGGATGATTCCCTGGAATATAGAAAGGTAAAAGCTGCCATTTTACAAAAATATGATATAAATCCAGAAACTTACCGACAAAGATTTCGCTGCCTTGATGTTCTTGATGAGAGTCCAAAAGAATTATATTCAAGGCTGAAAGAACTTTATGAGAAGTGGGTTCAGCCTAAAGATAAAACTGTGAAACAAGTTGGTGAACTGATTATTCTGGAACAATTTTTGAGAATGTTGTGTCCTGAGCTTCAGGTTTGGATCAAGGAGCACGATCCGAAGTCTGCTGCAGAAGCTGCTACTCTCGCTGACGTGTTTGTGGCTGCCAGAAGTAGGAGTCAGCCATGGAGCAACAGTGCATGGAGAGCTGCCAAAGATTCACGTCGGTTACCACCTTATCAGCCTCATCAGAAGCTAGCAAAGGGTGGGGGTAAGCCTTTTTTAGGAGAAAACCAGCCTTCTAAGGCAGGAAAAAGGCCTCCAGTGTGTTACCTCTGTGGACAAGAAGGTCACACCAAACCCATGTGCCCTAAGAATCAAAGTAAGCTAACTCAAGTGTGTTTTGTGCCTCATCAGAATGTGGATGTTAAACTTGAAATAAAGCAGTCAAGTAAAATCATTACAGTGAAGATTGCTGGGCATGAAATAAATGCTTTAATAGATACTGGCAGCACACAGACTCTAGTGCACAAGAACCATGTACCAACTAATTGTATATGCCCTTCTGAAACGATAGCAGTTCGCTGTGTACATGGTGATGAGAAATCATACCCCACTGCTGATATGTTTGTTGAGGTGCAGGGAGCTCCCTATCTGTTGAAGGTTGGGGTAGCTGATAACCTACCCTATCCTGTAGTTTTGGGGGAGGATCTGCCTGTCATCTATGACTTATTGAGGGATGTGCAGAGCTGTAACGTGGCTGTAACCAGAGCCCAAGCTAAAAATCAAGATGAGCATTTTGCAACACTTGGTGCTTTACCTTTTTTCGAGGCTGAGTTGCAGACGGAACCTGGGAAGTCTCGGAAGCCACGCAGTCAAAGAAGGCGTGAGAAATTTCAACATGCATTGGGTGAGACTTCAGTTGAAGTGGCTCCAGATATGCCACTGGGTTTTTCAATACCCACAAACATCAGACAAATGCAGCAGAATGATCCAACTTTATTTGCCCTGTTGCTGAAGGCTAGGAGGGAGGCCTCTGTAGGATCTGACACAAATAAAGAGCAGTATATACTGCAAGATGGCATTTTATATCATCAACATGGCCAGTTTAAGCAGTTAGTTGTCCCTAAGGAGGCTCGTGAAACAGTGCTGACTTTGGGACACTCTATTCCCTGGGCTGGCCACCTTGGGAAGTATAAGACCACTGCTCGCATCAAGCGATATTTTTTCTGGCCTGGTTTAAGATCAGATGTTGCTTTATTTTGCAGAAGCTGCCCTGAGTGTCAGAAAACCTCAATGAGAGTCCCTAGCAAAGCACCACTTCAACCCCTTCCCATTATTGGTACACCCTTTCTACGCCTTGGGATGGATGTAGTGGGCCCGGTGGAAAAAAGTAAATCTGGAAATCGCTTCATGCTTGTCATCACAGACTATGCAACAAGATATCCTGAAGTTTTTCCACTAAAGACTGTTAAAGCAAAACATGTGGCTTCCTCACTGGTTCAATTTTTCTCAAGGGTTGGATTTCCACAGGAGATTTTAACCGATCAGGGCACTAACTTTATGTCCACACTCTTGAAACAGGTCTATAAGCTGTTGGGCATCAGGAGCATGAGGACAACACCATACCACCCACAGACGGATGGCCTGACAGAGCGCTTTAACCAAACTCTCAAACAAATGCTACGTAAGTTTGTGAATGATACAGGCTCTGATTGGGACCAGTGGTTGCCATACCTCCTTTTTGCCTACAGGGAGGTTCCTCAGGCTTCCACTGGTTTCTCCCCATTTGAGCTCCTCTATGGTCATGATGTGAGGGGCCCTCTGACCCTGCTAAGAGATGCATGGGAGGGAGATCAGAGTAAAGAGGATCCAGTCAACATTATTTCATTTGTTCTCCATATGAGGGATAAACTGCAGCAAATGAGTGAGTTGGCTCAGAGTCACATGGCAGCTGCTCAGAAACACCAAAAGGTTTGGTTTGACATGAAAGCTCGCCACAGAAGTTTTGCTCCTGGCCAGAAGGTTTTGGTAATGTTGCCAACTTCTGACAGCAAGTTGCTAGCAAAATGGCAGGGACCCTTTGAAGTACTGAGGAAAACTGGACCTACTACCTATCAAGTCTCTACACCAGGTCTCCAGCGAGGGAGTCGAGTGCTCCATGTTAACCTTCTCAAGGAGTGGGTTCCAAGGAAGGAGAATGAAACTGAGGTGTTGCTTATTCACAGAGTGGAGGAGGAGGAAGAAGTTAATGACTATTTGCCCTCAGTAACATCCTCTGTGCTGGACCTAAGCCATCTCACCAGCGAGCAACAGTCTCAGGTAACACCTCTTATTACTTCTGACATATTTCAAGAGTGTCCAGGTCGCACCACTCTGGTGGAGCACAGCATTGTTTTAAAACCAGATGCTGCCATAAAGCGTATGAGTTACAGGATACCCGAACGCTTCCGGGTGGAGCTGAAGGAGGAGATGGACCTCATGCTGTCTCTAGGAATCATCCAACCTTCAACAAGTGAGTGGTGCAACCCTGTTGTGTTGGTTCCGAAAAAGGATGGCAAAATAAGATTTTGCATTGACTTCAGGTACCTCAACTCTATATCAAAATTTGACTCTTACCCAATGCCACGTATTGATGACCTCATTGAGCACCTGGGGGCAGCAAGATACTTAACAACTATTGATCTGTCTAAGGGGTACTGGCAGGTGCCTCTCACTAAACAGTCCCAGGAGCTGACAGCGTTTCGCACCCCCTGGGGATTGTTCGAGTTCACAGTCCTGCCATTCGGTCTCCATGGGGCCCCAGCAACATTTCAAAGACTAATGGATCAGGTACTCTCTGGGCTCTCAGCATTCACCTGTGCATACCTTGATGATGTTGTGGTTTTCAGTGCAACTTGGGAAGAGCATGTTCACCATCTAAAGGAGGTCCTGGATCGGCTGCGTTTAGCAGGCCTTACCATCAATCCAGCAAAGTGTGCTCTTGCCAGGACAGAAATACAGTACCTGGGGTACACCATTGGAGGTGGTACTCTGAAACCTCAAGTTGATAAAATCAATGCGATAGCATCCTGTCCGCTCCCACAAACCAGGAAACAGCTGCGGTCTTTTCTTGGCATGGCTGCATTCTACCACAGATTCATTCCTAATTTTTCAGCTAGCGCAGCATTCCTAACAGACATGACGGGCTCCAGAAGTCCCACTAAAATTCAGTGGACAGCAGAGGCTATTGCAGCATTTAAGGACATTAGCCAATCTGAGTAAGAATCCAGTTTTGCACTCACCTGATTTTGCAAAAGACTTTGTGTTGCAGACTGATGCTTCTGAAAGAGGCCTTGGGGCAGTGCTTCTGCAGGGACCACTGGAGGACCAACATCCAGTTGCCTACATCAGCCGCAAGCTGCTG